GGGAATATCTGTGTCTGTGTCTGTGTTTTAAATGTGATACCGAACACATTCGGTTATTTTTTCTTTTCGAATGAAAATTCATTTTCGGTTATTATTATATTAAATAGAATGAAACGTACAACAACACATGACAATATATAAACAGCAACAAACGATATCAGGAAAATAACCGTTGGAACAACCATACACACCACTGTGTATACACAGTAGAAATGAGAGGGGAGATGAACGAATAAATATCTAACGGTTCTTGCTTTCACTCTCTCCTTGTCTGTCTTTTTTTTTGTTTGGTATTTAAAAATCCAAACTCGGTATTGGGAATAGGTATTAAATGCGTGTGCAAGCAAGCAAGCAACAGAGCCCAAAAAGATAAAAACGTGAAAAGGAAATGAGCGTGTGCAAAAAAAAAAGTTTCCCAATGTTATATACACGCGAATGAACTTCGATTCAGTCTTTTTTATTTTTGCTATTCGGAAACTGTAAATGAAAATGTATTTTCTATAGAAACCACACACATCAGAAGAGAGTATACGCATTTTCATCAGTTGAATCGGGTACCAGAAAAAAGCATTTTTTTTTTTTTTTGAATATAGCAACAGAGCGAATACCCAAAATTGGTTGTTTTTTTTGTTGTTTGCATTTAATCGAAATGTTTGGGTCCGAAATATATACCGAAAACACACACACACACAGACGACCAGAATCACGAGGCCATTTTTTTCTCATTCTCTCTCTCTGTTGTTGTTGTTGAATTTTGGTAAATTAAAGTGCGTGCGTGATTTAGATGCGCCGACAAAGAACCATCATTCATATCGTCATCACAACAACCACCACCATCAACAATCCATCCATCCAACCACCACCACCACTATCATCAACATCATGGAACAAATCAAATGGTATCGATCGGTCCATTTTTTTTTTGTTTGAAAATATTGTTGCGCGCTGTTGTTGTTGTTGGATCACACACATTCTGTTGTTGTTTGGATCACATCATCCTCTTTTGTTAACAGTACTTCTGCCTTTTTTTTATCCTGGATAGAATAATGATTCGTTCCGTTTATGTGTTTGCGCTTGCTTGATTTTCAATGGATCCATGATGATCATCATCATCAACGTTTCTCCATATTGAAATTCAGAAGGGAAAATTTTTTTTTTTGGCTAACTGTTGTGTTTGGAACTTTATGTATGTGTGTGTGCTTGCCGAATATGTGCAAGGCCCGAAAATCCGTTTGGTGTTTTTTTTCTGTTGGTTCGTTCGTGTGGTGGTTGTGTGTACGTGTGTTATACATTGAAAAAAAAACGTATCCGTTATTCTTTGTTTGGGGATATATACGTTACGTACATTCCATACACTGGAAAATTCATTCTGTGTGCTTTTTCGTTGTTCCATAATAAGAATAATGTTCCAACAACAATCATTATCATTAGTACCACCACCACCACCACTACCACCATCATCATCAATATCACCGCTGCTGCCATTGATGTGTGCAACGCAACAAAAATTCTAGTCTTTTTAAATGGAATCAAACTGATTCTTGTAAACAGTTTTCCCTTTAATTTTTTTTTTCAAAAAAAAAGAAGTTCAACTTGTGGCAAGCAGTGGTGGTTGATGTGTGTTTTGTTGATCCATATAAAAGATTTTTTTTTATGATTCAGAACGATTCTGTCATCAGTAGTGAATGCGCGTACGATTTTTTTATATATGAAAAAAACGTTAAACACAAACGTTAGTCATGTAAAAGTGTTTCTGGATAGGGAAAAAGTTGAATAAAATATAACTTGTTAGGAACAAGCAGCAGGAAAATTTTCTTCAAAAAAAAATTCAACTGGTTTATCATTATTTTGATTATCTTGCTCATCATACATTCATCACTTTTCACTTTTCACAATCAATCAATCATAATCATCATATTCTTCCACACCTTTCTACACCAACCTTTGCACATTCAACAGAAACTCAACATTCATTCCATTAGCAGAAGCAATTTGGACATCAAACAATCAAACATCAATCAAACAAACATCTTTTCGTGATTCTATCATCATTACCATTATCATCATTAATATATCTATCTAGTCATCTTAATCATAAATTTAGTGATATTCAACAGTCGATTGCATCAACACAAACAACAAAAAAAATTTTCACCATATATTTTTGCATTTCAATACATTTTCTATAGCAGTTTTTTTATATTATTAAAAAATAGATATTCATTTTTCAAATAATAATCAGAATAATATCTAGTCAAGTCTTCCTATTTATCTATTTTATTCACTTTTTTTTTCATTCTTTGATCATCATTATCATTACACTTTAAAAAATATTCAACATTCATTCAATTTTCTCAAGGAATTAGAATTGCCTTCCATTGAATGAATTTTGTTTTGTTTTTCTTCGTTCATTCTTCAAAATATCGGTAAGTTTCTTTATTCTTCTTTTCTGAAAAAAACCAAACACAAAGCATTTTTTAATGATAAGAATATAATGGGCGTGTGTTTGGGAGCGAGTTGATATTTTTTTCTTCCCCTTTTTTTTAAATGGTGGTTAATGTTGTTTGGATCATTTCAATAACAACGAAAACTCCAAGTGAAATGGGCACAAGTTGCTACTTTTGTTCCTGTTGTTGTTGTTGATATTATAGCGTCGCCCAAAAACGAAAAAAAGTATAGAGAAATGAAGAAAAAGAACAATTTTCTTCATTAAATTGGGCTGTGTGTGTGTGTGTGTATAATGTTGCTATGGCCACACACACACACACTTGACTTGACTTGCCTGCTTTGTTCATTCATCAACAAGTTTGCCTTTTTTGTTGTTGTTGAATGTTGAATGTATGGTATTTTTAACTTTTTTTCCGTCTTTCTATAGCTTTTATAATGATTAAGGGAAGGCTGGCAATGTATATCGTCGTCATCATCGTTTGTTTCGGTGTATAGTGGTTGTGTGTGTAGAATGATTATTTTTTTTTTGGTTTGTTTGTAAAATGCCAGAATTCAGAACTTCCAGCAAGCAAAACATCCGGTTAGAACCGGTTGTTTTTTGGCAATCAAGAATTGAGAATAAGATTAGAAAAAGCAGTACAAAAAAAAAGTTTTTGAAAATTCTTCTTGCGTTTAGACGGATTAAACTTGGTAGAAAAAAATGGTGCAGTTATTTTGCCTATCTCATAATGTCAAAGATTGTAAAATTAATGAAAAAAAAGAAAGAAAAAAGGAGAATTTCAATAATTGAAGCCAAATGTGTACGTGTGTATGATTATTATGAAAAAAAACGGCAAGAATAAAGGTGTGTGTGTATGTGTTTACCGAAAGTACAACAGTTTGGGAAAAGCAAACAAGCCAAAATACAATAATAATGGATTGTATTGGATTCTGGATTCATACAAATGTTCTGGAATTCTCAATGTATAGGAATATTTTTCTATATATAGAAATATTGATAAGTAAAGTAGTGGTTCATTTCATTAATAACAACAACAAAAAAGATATATAGAATTTATAGTTCTTACTAACTTGTGGGCCAAAAATTTTGTGATGATAAAATAAAAATCAATTTGATAATGAATTTGGTGATTATCATTATATTGAGTAAAATCAAAAACGTTCGAAAAGCAAACAAAAAAAATACGTTAGGGTAGAAATAGAGAGCTGATATCTTTATCTGGTTTATTTGGTTCCAGTGTCAGTAAGGTAAACATTGTAGCAATTGTCAATCATTGTTAATAGTTTTTTTGGATCTTTTCGAAAAAATTTTGGTTGACTGATCATTTATAACGGAATCTCTATTGCAATGCAATGGAGAGAAGAAAGAAAAATTAGTCTAGACACGTACATTTGATGCTTAAAATTGATGATGATAATGATGATGGGAACTATATACACACACACAGTGACAAAGACGAAGATTTGAGTTTGTTTTTTTTTTCGTACCAAAAAATGAACAACAACAACAAAATTCAATGGAAAAATGAATTGATGATTATCAAATATCGATATATGAAAAGAAAACAAAATAATAATAATAATGATCCGAAAAAATTATTCGATGAGCACAAGAAAAAAAAATACATTGAAGGATCACAACAACAAGAATAATGATGATGATAGTAAGAAGAGAAACATTTCCATTCAATTTTCTTTTTCATTCGGCACTTTTTTTCCATTAAAAAATAAAAAAATAAATAAAAGTTTCAAATTGCCATGTTGTTGTTGTTGTCGTCGTCGTTATTTTTTCCCCAGTGTTTGCTGAATTTTCTTTTCTTCGGAAAAGAATATCATTCTTTTTTTCTGCTTCGTTCATCTTATTTTTTATATTGATTCTTTTTTTGTTGATGTTGTTGTTGTTGTTGATCAAACATCATGATCTTTTGAGAAAAAAATAGGTTCATTATTGATGAAAGAAAATTTATTTTATTTTTTTCGAAATTTTATTTACCCGGATTTTGTTGTTGTTGTTGCTGAAGTGCATTCGAACGAATAGAATACAGCAAAGTTTATACGTTGAAATAAAATAACCTACAGCCTATATACGGATTGAGCTGTTATTTCGATTTTTATCGAAATTCAGTTTTTTGTTTTCACCGATTACAGCGTCGTTAATCGGTGAAAGAAAGTTGTAAAAAAAAAATTGAAGCAACAGTTCAAAACAACATTTTAGAATGAAATTTTTTTTTTTCGTTCAGCACATGCTACAGGCTACATTTTTTTCTGCATGTGTATGAAGCAACAGCTATTTTTTGATTTTTGATAAAAAAAAAAAATTTTTTTTGAATCAATTTTTTTTTGATAACGAAAATAATAAATTTCCTCTATGTTTTCCACCAAATACAGCATGTTTCCATTATCAGTTTGAACATCATCATCATCTCAGGATTCGATTCAAGAATAAATTTCCGGTTTTTTTTTCGCAACACTTTCTTCACTAACAATTCCAACGAAAATTTAAAACGAAAAATCATCATGCCAAGATCATTTTTGGTTAAAAAAGCGACCACCAATTATGGTCAACAATTTGTTAAATTACATAATCATCATCATCATCATAATAATCATATTGGTGGACGTAATACGTCAATAGGTGGCGGAGATGGACAAAAACAACCACCATCAAGTCCAACAGAAGGTGATTGTGCACCATCTACAATTTCCGTTATTGGTTTTAATAATAAATCTGTTCATCGATATTCATTAAGTAAGTCATTTTTTTTTTGTTTTCGATTTAAAAAACATTTTGTGCTTACTTTTGTGTGTGATGTATGTGTAAAAATCTAAAATTTTTTTTTGTTCGAAAACATTGTCATTGATTATATGGATGGACAAAATTCGAATGTTATTCGCTACAAATTAAGAATTAGGCAAAATAATTATTAGCAATTATTATCAAATTGATTGAATTGGATTGGAAATTGAAAAGTAAAAATAGTGAAAGATAATTGTACCGAAATTCGATTCCTGATTGAAAGATGTTTGATGTTTTTTTTTTTATTTTCTTCGATGCCAAAATCAATTGTACATTCGTTTCGATTTACTATAGTGCAAACGAAACTATTAAACGATTCAATTTCTGAATATTTGTATATATTGAGTTAGTAATTCGAGAAGATAGACTACATTTAAAACGATTTCGAAACAGATAGAATAAGATAATAATATGAAACCAAACTAGAATGATTATTTTTGGCCAAAATAAATATTTCCATCAAATCGATATTTACTGACAAAAATAGAAAATTGATTAAGATGATTACAGAATGATTTGAATCTTCTTTATTCGTTTCATTTTTGATCGTCATGTTGTTATCATCATCATCATCATCATCATGGCGTTCATTTCATCCAATTTTCATTTTATGATATCATTAATAATTTTTGTCTGATAACGGAATGAACATTTTAAACATCCAAACAAATAATATACGATTCGATCGAAAATGTTCATCCGGATTCGAATTCTAAATAATGATTTTTATAGCGATAATAGAGAGAGAGAGAGAGAGAGAGAGAGAAAGAAAAAAAAATGTAATTGAAAAGATATTATGATTTTTTTTCATTACCTTTCATTCAAAATATTATTATGTTTTTTTTTGCCAAATGAGAATTCATTAAATAATAATGACGATTTCATTATAAATCAATCAATCAACAACAAAAAAAAACTTGATTCAAGATATCATCAACAATGTTCTTTTTCCGGTACAAAATTTTTGTTTGACAATTTGATCCACATTTTTATATATTAGAAAAATTGTGATAAACAATGTTGAATGAACAAAAAAAAAATCATTGAAAACAAACAATGAAAACGGATAAGAAGAATTCTTGAAAATGGAAAAAAAAAATTTTGCATTGCTTTTTTTTCTGGTATGACTAGAATCTATGATGATTATAGTGTGTTATGATGGTACTTGAATTCGAATTCGATTCTATATTGACTTGAATAGTAAAATAGTAAAAACTGTAGAAAAAAAAATCTAGAGTCAAAATAGAATCGAATCATCTTTGGTATATGATGATGCATTTTGGTTCCGTTTTGTTTGGTTTTTGGTTTGGAATAATGTTGGCCTCATTCAAAAAAAAAACGAAAATGAAAATGAAAATGAATTATTCATTAAGCTTTAAAGCTTTGATTTGATTCAGAATTGGTCTTCATGGAGAACCGTGATCTGAACCGTTTATTATTTAAAAAAAAGGTCGATTTTTTTTCGTTTGTTTGTCTCATTTAATTGGTTTATTGTTGTTTGATTTTGGATTTTTTCAGTTTTGTTTTGTTGACAGAGTGACTGAAAAAAAAATCGATGATAAATGTAATCATTACGATGATGATGATCATGACTTATGTTTCCTTTTGATTATTTAATTTTGTTCAAAATTTAATTTATTTTGAAACGAAACAAAAAATGAATTTATTAATGATTTTTTATGAAATTTTCATCCGATGTGATGTCTTTTTGTCTTTTTCTTCTCTCAACAAAGTCAAAAGTGAGAAAAAATAATTCCATACGAATGACACGAACTGTTTTCTTTGATTAGATAAATCATTTTATATAACTGAAAAGCATCTACGTTAGGGAAATTAGATTTGAAAACAAAACAAAACAAAACAATGATGCGTGTGTGTATTAACCGAAAAAACATGTCACGCTATTCGATCATTCATTCTTTTGGCTTAGAAAAACCAAAAGAAGGATGATAATGTTATGTTTTTGTTGTAATGTTTTTTGTAAATAATATGGTAGTTATAATCTTATTTATCTTGTTTTGGTTTTTTATCTTTTTGTAAATCGATTTTTTTTTTGGAATCATCATTAGATTATGGTACAAATTTAGATTCAAAAGCCAATACGACAACAACAACAACAACAACAACAATTACTGCAGCAACAACCATAGTAGAAGCATCAAGTAAATTAAAAGATTCATCATCATCAACAAAAACAACAACAACAACAACAACGAATGGTGTAATTGTACATCATGGTAAATCACAACAACAACAACAACAACAAAATAAACAATTATTGGATTTAAGTAATAAACGTACAAGAAGTAGTAATAATAGTAATGGATATAGTAACCTTTATAAATCATCAAATGATTATAATAATAATAATAATAATAATTCTGGTTATCATACAGCAAGTGAAGATAATACAACAATAACATCATTAACTGAAAATACTGAATCAACTGGATATAATTCATCATCATCATCATCATCGGATGAACATGATGATTCTGATCATCATGCAACAACAACAACAACAACAACAAATTCCGAATCAAATAATTCAAATGATATAACATTAATAAAAACAAATAAAAAAAATGGAAAGAAAAATATAACAATTAGTTATACATATGATGCATTTTTTATTAGTGATGGACGATCAAGAAAACGTAATATTAATGGAAGTAATAATAATAATAATTCGAATAGTAATAGTAATAGTAATGGTATTGGTGGTGGTGGTGGTGGAAGTGTTAATATTGGTGGAAAAAATGATAATGGAATTGTTAGCAGTGGTGGTGGTGGTAGTGTTAGTCCAAATAGTAGTATTGATTCAAAAGAAAGACAGCGATATTCATGTACTGAATGTGGTAAACATTATGCAACATCATCAAATCTATCAAGACATAAACAAACACATCGTAGTCCGGATTCACAATTGGCTAAAAAATGTCCAACTTGTCATAAAGTTTATGTTAGTATGCCTGCATTGGCAATGCATGTGGTATGTAATCAATTAATCAAAACTTAAACTTAGAAAAAACTTATGAATAATAATCCTTTCATATTTTCGTTTTTTCATAGCTAACACATAATCTTAATCATAAATGTGAAGAATGTGGAAAAGCTTTTTCACGTCCATGGTTATTACAAGTAATTGAACAAAAAAAACATTGTCCCAGAAAAATTTATTTATATTTGATGATAATTTCTTTACTTTTATTTTCATTTTTTATAAAAGGGTCATATGCGTTCACATACTGGTGAAAAACCATTTGGATGTGCTCATTGTGGTAAAGCATTTGCTGATCGATCTAATCTTAGGTAAGTGTTTTTCTTTTCTGGTTGCAAAAGTGTAATCAAACCAAGAAAATCACAAAGCAGAAACTTTGAATTTAAATGGGAAAAAAAGTTTTTTTTTCGAATGAATATTTTCAATACATAAAAATGAGAATATCAAGAATGATTAATAATGATGTTTTGGGCATGTTTTTTTCTAAAAGTTTCTTATTCTTTTTTTTAAAAATATTTGTTAAAATATGAATAAAATAGTAATACTTTATAAATGGAATAGTTTTCTTTCATTGATTAGTTAGCGAAAGAAAAAGTTTGATTTATAAAAGAATTTCATATTCTTATCCTTGTTTTTCATTCATTTTTTTCATTTTTCTTTTCTTTTTCAAATTCAATTTTCATGAAAATATTTATAGAGCTCATATGCAAACACATAGTGCATTCAAACATTTTCGTTGTGAACGATGTAATAAATCTTTTGCACTTAAATCATATCTAAATAAACATTACGAATCATCATGTTTTAAGGATACAAACAACAACAACAACAACAGTAAACAACAAGAACAATCAATGGAAATGAATGGTAATAATGATGATGATGATGATGATGAAAATAATTGTGAAACATTAGAGAATCATTGTTCTCCCACTTCATCATCAACAACAACAACATTTTTAACATCGACAACAACAACAACAAATAATAATCAAATGAATAGTAATGAACAACAACAACAACGAGAGCCGGAAAAGCCTCATCAACAACAACAACAACAACGGCCAAGCTATACAACAACAACAAATCCACAAACGAATAGTATTACAATAACAAGATCTAAAGTATTACAGAATGGTATTAATAAAAGAAAATCAAGTGAATAATAATCATTCCCGGTATTCATTTATAAGTCATTTTTTTGTTTTCTTTTGGTTTCTGTAGTATTTATATTATATTTATAACAAAAATTTGTAGAAAAATATGTGTGTCTGTATTTTGTAATTTTTATTTATATATTCAACAACAACAACAAAAAAAAAATTCTTATATTTATAATCAGGAAAATTACAATCCTAGATTTGTTTTTTTTTAATTTATATATCGTTCAAAACAGAATTTTTACTATTCAAAAAAAAAGTCAAAATAGAGTTATAATCTCTTTATTTACAAATTACATTTATACAACAACAACAACAAAACAAGAATTAGAGAATAAGATCAAAGACACCTGACACACACACACACATGTGGAAATAGATGTTAAAATTCTGAATTTTTTTTTTCGCTTAGAATTTCAACATTTTTCACAATGTATAGATATGTTTCTTTAAGTAAAAAAAAATCTTTTCAATTGATGATGATCATAATGCTTTGGGCTTTTTTTTAACCCTATGCTCTTTTTCAAACGAAGAACCAAAACTGAAATGAATCCGGTTAATTTAGCAAAAAAAAACAAAAAGAGATATAGGCAAAGAATCAAATCATTGAACAAAATCATTGTAAAAACGATTTATTTATTTTGAAATTTTTTTTTCTTGTTTTTCAAATTACATAACCAATTCACTATATATACCCATACACATATTGTGTCGTTAATAACAGATTGAACTGTTTGAAATTGTTGTTTGTTTGCCATTGATGATAATGGCGACAACATTTAGAAATTTGGCCAAAAAAAAACTGTAGCACAATAACTGTTTGCAATTCTGTATATGTTTGATGTGTGTGTGTGTGTGCGTATATATAACAATAAGTTTTAGAATAGGAAAATTACAATGTTTTTTTCGACCATGTTTTCAATCATCATCATCATCATCATGATCTGAGAGGGCTGATATATTGAAATGAAGAAATGTTATTTACCAAATGTGTGAGGGAATTTTCAATATATAAAACAAAACAGCAATCATAAAGCTACTGAATTGTAAAAAACTATAACCAATGAACAAGAAGAAGAAGAAAAAACTTGGAAACACAGAATGAATGAATGAATGAATGAGATTTGAAGGAGGGGAAGGCAAAATTCAATAAAAGTTTCGTCGTTTGTTTTTTTACTTAATCGAAACAAAAACAACCATATCAGATATTTGTAAGTTTATTCTTTTTTTTTCTTTTTTTTTGATTTCCATCTTGTTTTTGATCAATAATATACTTTTATTAGTTTTTTTTCTGGTTCTACTGGATACCTTTTATGCATCTATATTGGAATTGTTAAAGAATATTGATAAGGAAAACGTTAAGGAATTTTTTTCGATTGAAAAAACGTTGTTAGGGATGTTGTCATTTTAAAATTAAAAAAAAAGATCAATTCTTCTTGCTGCTTATATTAGTGTGGTTTTCATGATTTTCATAATTTTTTAGTCTTTGTTTGTTTGTTTGTTTGTTTATCGATTTCCTTTGGGTATTTTGGGTTCATAAGTGTGTGTGTGAATGGATCGTTACATTGTTTGCAAAATCAAATTTCCCAGACAATTTTGCGTTGATTGTCCATGATGCACAAACAAACAAAAACAGAAAAAAAGAAGAAAAAAACATTGATGGAATAATCAAACTTTTTTTTTTTTTGTTTCTATTTCGGGAAAAGGGAAAACACATACAATTAAAATTTAATGCGATCAAATTTTGACTATGGAGATAGAGAAAAGCAAGTGAAAATAAATCATTGAAATTGATGAAATTGATGAAAAACACAGGCACAAAGACACAAAGTTGCTTATGAAAATATATTCATATAGAAGCAGAAGAAGAAGAAAG